CATCAATGAGTTGCAACTCTGGTCTGTCAAATACCTAATTCCTGTGTGCCGATTTTTCTCTCTCAATATGTACATACAGGATATTCTTAGCACATCAACGGGTGCGTTTTTGTTTTTGGGCTATAATACGGGGCTTATAACTGTGTCATTTTAACTGACAGTTCTTCTTCATACACATATACATTCCACGGGTTAAATTCTAAAAATGTCGTTAAACTCTTTATTGTACCTTTTCAAAGTCAGGAACAGTAAGATGCGCTGTCATTATTTATTACGTTTTTTTTGTGAGCCAAATGGTGAAGTTACTATATAAATTACTTATTGTTTTGGTTTTTTTTTTTGTGTAGTTGGGTTTCTCTCTCATCGACGTCTTATGTTTTTCATATCTCTTATTCATTTCCTATATGAAATAACAGACATATAAAGTTAAGAATGTGGATTCGATTTTTTTCCCATTCGAAGTTAATATTGTTGACTTCCTAATTAATGAATAAAAATAACAATTCTCGTGATTTGGCCGATTTTCATTGCAGGTACTTTTTTCAAATTCGTGCAATCGGGATTATGACGTCAGTGGATTTTCCGCAAATGTGACTACATCTAAAGCGACGTCGCGAAATGTAATCGTTCTTATTAGAAACATCGCGAAATTACAACGTTCTGATTAACAACGTCGCGAAAACAACACAAAAAGTTTTAAAAACGTTATTATCTGCCCCTGCTACTGTATCGTATGCCCTTAACCCTCTTACTGCGGCAGGGACATATGTGTCTTCCCCTGGCTTACTGCGGAAAGGACATATATGTCCTTTGTGTAAAAAAAATCGATTATTTTTTTCACTTTTTGATATTTCTAAAAATAACCTTTCCTTCAATTATTGAATATATTTTATATATTTTATTCATTATGTGGTTATTATTTTTGTTGTTGTTCTTATCCATCTTTTTCATAAAACGTCATCATGATTACGTCATATATTATTTTACGTCATTTTATGTCGTAGTTGAGTTGAAGGCAAAATAGCGCTATCAAATTTTAGAATGAATCTTTTAAATCCTTCGCATTGATAAGATAACATAGAATCATAGTATGAAACAGAAAAAAAAATCAACATGAACAAATAATCATTGAAAAGTACAAACATAGATATTTGCTATTTGGTTTTAATTCTTGTATCTAACAATATATATAAATATTTCAAACAAATGTCCTCAACTCTTTTAGATTGGGAGGGCCACTGATATGTATACAAAGTGTTGAACTTCGTGCTTGCCTTGGTTTTCTTACTTGTTTGAAAACAAACGAATTAAACAACGAAAAAGTCTACGTTGGTATATAGATAAATATGTCTATAACTAATTTGTTTATACGAATTGTTAAATTGGCATGAAAAAACATTCAGTATTCTGAATAGTTTTTATGTTTTATTAGCTATTATAGGCTTTAGTTTATGTTCAAAAATGAATAGATACTATGCAGTTATTCAAAACCCGTTAGTAGCAGGAATCAGCCAAACAATGAGAAAAGCCATTATACCGTATAGTCAGCTAAAGAAGGCCCCGACATGAAAAAATGTAAAACAATTCTAACATGAAAACTAACGGCATAATTAATAACAATACAATTTATGAAAAACATATGACAGACATGAACCAACGACAACCACTGATTTACAGGCTCCTGACTTGGGACGTGAACAAAAGAGTGTGTTATCTTTAAAAACGGCAAATTTTGAAATTCCTGAAGTCACATTTATTCAATGAAGTAACACCTTACGATGTTTAAATTTTAGACAAGTATCATTTTTTAACTCATATCATGCATGCTGATACTGAATACGATGCTTCAAACAAAGATCTTTATTTTCCTTATACTTCATATGTTGTATATATTGAGTGTAAAATGCCAAGTTGGGGAAAAATAAAATAAAAATGTAATAAAAGATCTTTTCTAAATATGTGTAAATATTACATTGATGTACACATATAAATTAATTAACACAACGGTATTATTTAGGAATAAGTTTTCGTGAGCTATATTTTCCCATTTAGCTATATAAATTCGGAAGGGCCCTCTTATTATTTATTCTGTAAATATATATATAATGATAGTTACAAATAGTATAAATATACCATCGAACAATATTAATCAAAGAAACTAAGCAGTTATTAACGGAAATATTAGAACCGAACCTAAAAACCAAGAAACAGAAAGAAACAAACATGTAAATATATAGCTAGTAGCGCAACCTATCCACATTTTTAGCGGTAACTAGAAATCATGCAGGTAAAAAGGTGTGCTCGATTTGGATTTGTCATTCGTCAAGCGTCAATGTGATATGATAATCAATATGACATATGAAATATGATATGAATACATGTATAACATAGAAAATAATAACCATAATAAACACAAGAAATATTTCATGTGATGACACTAACGTCAGTGCAACCATCGTCTACAAAGAAAAGGGAACAAGACGATTACAATGTAGTGGCAGATCCAGAAATTTTCATAAGTGGGGGCCAACTGACTGCCTAAGAGGGGTCCGCTCCAGTCGTGCTTCAGTGATTCCTTATATAATCAACCAAATTTTTCCCACAAAAGGGGCCCGCCCCCCGCACCCCCTAAACCTGCCTCTCAATGTTTCACTGGGGGAGGATATTTCCGGAGACAGATACATTTTACAGTATATATATATAGCAAAACATTTCACAGCATTGACATATTTTTGGCATCTTTAAACATTTCTATTAAAGTAAAGGATATAAATTGTACATGCTTGTGCTTGTGTGCATGTTTAAACACCATTAATCTTATTAATAAATAGGTCTTTGTTAAGAAATCAAAGCTTAAAATTAATTGCTTCATAGTTAAGCCAATAAAATGTTGGCCTTTTTAGGTGTGACAATAATTATTTTGGGACACATGCATCCTTTAAATCTGAATAAACAATAGAAACAGGGAATGTGTCAAAAAGATACAACCCGACCAAAAGGCAGAAAACACCACAAGGCAACCAATGGGTCTCCAACGCAGCTGGCCCCTAAACCAATAATATAAAAAATCTTATTTTGACAGTTCAGATTTTAATATAAGCGTGCTGTGAAAATACATGTACAGGTGCATGTACATAGAAAACACAATTAAAACAAAAGAAACGTGTATTGTATAGGTTATAAGGGAGCTACCATTTGATTTTTATTGGCGGAGTGGGGGGGGGGGGGGGGGGGGGGCTAGGTTGAAATTTGAAAAAAAGCAGGACTGGACTTTTGAGTTTAAAAAAAAAAGGCAGGATGAGCAACTTGGCAAAAAATAAAAGAAGGCAGGATGACAATTTATGTAAAACAAGTCAGGATAAACTAATACAAAAAAGGCAGGACCGAATAGAGTGAAAAAATAAAAAAGGTAGAACAGAGATTACAAATAAAAAAAAATCGTAAGGGTTCCGCGGAACCCAGAGTCTTGCCTACTTTTGCTGTTAATCGCAGGCTCGACAAAAATGAGGAAAACATTAATAAAAATATTCCTCTCTATACTATCTTTTGATTGTAAGTAGCTTCTGTCCAAGTTTGGTAAAAATCCAGGATAGTTATGAATCTAAAACTTATGCTTAGTGTCAGTTAGGCTAGCATAAGTAATGGAAGTACTGTACAAAAAATAGACTTGTAGTTATATATGCAGCATATAATTAATTTTCTCTTATTATGCATTATGTTTTATTTACATTATTTGTCATGTATGTTGTACACTTTGATTACGCAATGTCATATTTTTTTTATATATGTGCTTTATAAATCCAAAAAATATTTGATTTGATTTAAAATTTAAGATAACCAACCGAAAATATGTAAAACTGACTGGAAATTTTGTAAAGTATAGTGATGTTTTGCAAAAACTAAAGTTTTCTTCCAACCACTGCAAAGTGCTTGACGTTCGCTAATTGAAAAGCGCGAAACTTCCTTAGGACGTGACGTGAACACCATTATGACGTTATGTATAGTCAAATAAATAACGTTATTTTTTGAAAAAATAAACATCTTGACTTTGTATCTTAGTAATTCTTCCAAATATTTTAGTTAACATGCTGTGAATCAAGACTGAATAACAATTTACTGTTTGTGGTATTTTTTTACTGAAATTGTCCCGTTTCTGGACAATGTTTTGAAATTTCGCTACGCACTAAGAAGGTTAAACTATAACCACTCCAAAACTCTACCTCTTGTGGGAGAATATAATCTGAACTTTTTTTAATTGTTTTTTTTTTAAGATATTGTCAGTGTTTTTTTATCGTGTTTGTAATTGGTTACTTTTTTCTATACAGTACTAAATTTGTCAGGCAATTTTTAGGATTTTGTTTAAAAATTTCAGGCATTTTACAAAATGACTAAGTGTTTAAGTCATATTATATAAAAACAGTTAAAGAATGACTGAATTATAAAAAAAGATGCCTGTAATATATAAAACATAGGGGGTGGAGTCCGTTTGAATGAATAACTTTGCGGCTGTTTTGACATGTTTATGAACATGATGAAGTCACAGTGGTATTTGAACTAATGTTACTAGGTTGATTTATTGGTTGTTTGTTGCCTTAAGTTTATGTACAAATATCCCAGGCATATAATAACGAATTCAAATAAGTATCAATTACATAGGAAGTTTAATAAAGCAGGTTAACTGGCGTAAATGTTGAAAACAGGACACGCTGGATAAAGCCAGAATTCTACAGTGCAGCTGCAAGTTTTATTTTAATTGCAATGTGGCACTCTCTATTTGAACCAACGTTCCTTTTCTATTCGGACGTGGCCGTGTATTTTATACATCTTGTAAAACCAAACGGACACCCTCTTTTGCCTCGGTTTTACTGCCGGATTGTAGAAGTCTATGTTATGTACTTTTTCCTTGTAGGATGCTGGAAAGGAACATGGGGTGTAGATTGTACAAATGCATGTCCAGCATACTGTATAGACCACCACTGTTACCCTAGAGATGGTTCTTGTATTTGGGGATGTGAATCTCCTAACTGTCTTTATTCCAAGTGTAATGAGAACACCGGCATTTGCACAGATGGGTGTAAAACTGGACTTGTTGGACAAAACTGTAATAACAGTTATTGTGAGTAATTTATCTCCGTCAATAAACTAGAAACTGTCAAATCGGTAAATTGAAAAAAAAAAAATATTCAATACATTATGATTATGTAAAGTTACAAGATATATGAGACTTTTGTAACACTAGATGGGGAAACTTGTGTCGATTTGTCAAATACAAGTAGATTACATTTGATCAGTATCACTTGGTTTCTGGAAGATATCATGCACACTTTACTTTGCTTTTCTCAATTTTTATCATTTAGTCTTAAATAAGGAAATGAAAAAAAAAATAATATTTCCGGATACCCCTCCAGTTATCCGATTCGGATGTATATCAATAGATATTATAGAAAAGATGTTGAATTTTTGCAAACGGGAAAACTATCCATTACAGACTAATGTATACAACTAGAGGTAACCGCAAACCCAAAATGAATACAGTTTAGTAGGATATGAAAGGCCCTGGAGAAAGTGAAACAATTCATAAGAGAAAACCAATGGCCTGGTGTATGCTTATTACAATAAACGAAAAACAAATATCGTTAACAACAAGCAACGACATTCACTTTATTACAGGCACCTGGGACAAGCATAACAAATGGGACAGAGTTAAACATGTTTGTTAGCGCTCAATACACTCTGTAACCTATGACAATGATTTAACAGAACAACATAAAAGCAAACACTTAATTTCAGTGGGAAAAGACTTGAGTCATCAGATAAGCACGAAACACAACTTAAACAACAACGTTACAAAAACACTTAGTATCGATATAAGAGCAACTGCAATTACTGAAACATAGGTTAAAGCCAATTTCAACTAATGAATAAACTTCAATATCAATTAGTACACATCTAACGGATTAGTAGTAAAGACGTCATTAATAGTACAGTTTCTCATTCAGTCGTGTTGTTTCTGGACAAATATAATGACTCAGCCAAACAACATATCAAACATAAATACATATTAACATCATTATAAACAAGAATGGACACACACAAACTCTAAGAAATACCTACTACTCTTTTTTAATATGAAAACAAGATCGAGTTCAGACTAACAACAATAATTCCTTGAAAAACGGAAAAATACAAACGAACATATCAAAAATATTTATACTTCAAATATTCATGACCTAATTCATTACTCCATAAACTTCAACAGTTTACAACATCGACAATGCGAAGTTCGAAAATAAACATACAAATTAAATTATCATTCCTGGTGTATTTTGGTACTATTAAGATTAAGGCGAAAGTAGTTTACTGCTGGTCAATTGGTTCAAAAGAGACTAATCAAGGTTGACAAATAGAAACTATGGGAATCCAATTAACTCCAAAAGAAGAAAGACCGGTTCAGTCGACAGGGCGAGCTTCTCTTGCTATGTATGCATTACCCAACATGCGAATTCAAACTCATTTAAAATTTGACAACCGGCCGGAATAGGACATAATTGGGGCAATTACAGATTAGAAGACTATAATGGTATCAAAAGATCTAAGACCGCGAAAACATGTCGATAGTGATTTGAGATTCATCGTGTCGGTCAATCAATTTGTGATGGTGACCATAAATCGTATATAGTGTCGACTCCAGTCATTCTACCACGTAATTCTGCTACAGCAGTTGAAATGAGATGTGATTTAGGGTCAGGGAAGTTTTTTTTTCTCTTATTCGCAAAGGATTTTCAAAAGCTTTATTTTCAATGTAGAATTATCAGTTTTAGTATTTAAAATAATTTATGTTTCCCGAAATGAACAAAATGAAAAAAAAAACACTTAAGTTCATGGGTTCAATCCCCGTCTTGATTAAACCAAACAAATTAAAATTGCTATTCTAATGTTTTGCCACTAAGCCCGGTGGCATTGACTACCCGTATGAAAATTTCAACAGGAGTTCAACTGGACTCTAGCTGGACTTGAGACGTATTCCAGTCTGACTTTGAAAAGTCCAGTCTGACATGAGCCGTACACGTACTTTTTCTTATACTTGGGTTATTTGCCAGCCGGTATTTTCTTAAAAGTCCAATCGCACTTTTTGTAATGCTTACAAGAAAATAAACACGGCTGGACTTTTGAGGAAATTTAATCCTTTCTGTAGAATGATCAGCAGGATTTTTGTCTTAGAAAATTTTACATTCATTTATGAGCAGGAATTTAGACTTAGAAAATTTTCATCAGCCAAATCTACCCTTACAGAAATAAAAAGTTTGCCACAATAGATTCTGTTCTTTGAATGAACAATTCTTTCAAAATGTAAAACAGTTAAAAATGAAAGTTTGCAAGTAATTAATAATAATGATAAAATATTTTTTTGCAATATACTTTTAGTTCAAACTATAAGATGTGATACTTTCCCTAGATTTTCAATTCCATTATGAAATATTTAACATAGACTGTTGATGGAAAGTTAAAATTTAATTTTGGTGACTTTTGATTGAATTGTATCCAAGTTAATATATGTTTAATATACAGCAATTATTTAACATTTCTACTTTTTTCATAAAAAAAAAACACTAGCAACATCTGTTACAGGTCAAATTTATATATTTTCTAGTATATTTATATTTAATTAGATGAATGCATAAAACTAATAATTATCATTCATTCTTTAACATCAATTAGAAACTTGAGCCATATAACAGTGATTTAATAGCAGTTAGTCTTGTAGAAATGTGCCATCTGTTTTCAATTAACCTCAGTCTGGACAGGTCACAGGAAGTACTATCTCCACAGAGATTGAGGCCATATGTGGGATAACACATTTCAAAATACATATTTCTGCAATTACTATCACTTTTATTAAAAATTTCATAATTAAACAAATTAATAATTGATTTTCTTTTTTTAATATATCACATATTGAAAATTAAGGCACATGCAATTAGTCATAAGAGGAACATATTTAAAACAACTCCTTAACATGTTAAACAACCTCATGTATTGCAATACAACAACATTTGAATTTGGAATAAACAGGAAGATGTGTCTTCTTTCTTGAACAAAATGAGAATTTTACATATCATTGGATGTAAAGCAAATGTTTGGGAGTAGTTCTTTTCACATTAAATAGAGAAGATGGATCCTTCTGACTGGCATCAATGACAATTTTGGAAGATTGCTGTTTGCATGTGTTTTGGATTGCATAATTCTGGTAAGTACAATAAATTAAATTCCACCATTTTGGTGATATTATCTGATATGCTCTTTTTATTCAACATATTAATAAAATAATTACAACTTTATAAATAGCTTAATTTTTATTTTTGAAGAGTAAAAAGAATAAAAAACCTACATCAAATATTTATATATATTCATGCAATAATTTTCATCTTGTCTGTTATGTCACTGTCACTTCCTGTTTTGAATTGTTGTGTAAAACAATGTATTGTTATATTTTGTATTCCCTCTGTATTAAGGAATGGTTATTATTTGAGTTGTTTTGAAAGTTTTTTTTATTTCTACACTTTAAGTGATTTTCAAAGCCAACTTTATTTTATTTTTACCCACTTTAAAATTATTTAGGCTATTTAATAACCACAAATTTTTAGAAGTTATCATTTAGCTTCTCAATTCCCCATTTCTTGGTTTTGCCAGTAAGACAGTACAAAAAAGAAAAAGAAATAACCAGTATATATGCATAATGTCATCTGTTTTTTTTTTCTATTTTCAGATTATAGCAAGGGATGCATGATGCAAATTAAATCAGAAGAATTAACCATCTGAAGAAAAACTGAGCAGTGGCGGATCCAGGGGGAGGGTTCCAGGGGTTGGAACCCCCCATTATTTTGACGATCAATGCATTTGAATGAGGACATATGGTTGGACCCCCTATCCTGAGTTAGGAACCCCCCCTTTTGAAAATAGCTGGATTCACCCCTGCTGAGATCATCTTTAAAAGTCAAACCGCACTTTTTGAAGTCCAGCTGGACTTTATAGAGTTCAGCTGGACTTTTTACAGTTCAGCCGGACTTTGTAAAGTTCGGCTGAACTTTATAGAGTCCATATTTTTGCCAGAAATGCCGGCTGGATTTTTTTTACAGACGTACTTTTATTAAAGTCCAGCTGGACTTTATGAACCGGACTCCTGCTAATTTAAATATTTCGAGCCGATTTACGGCTAATTTCGCTGAAAGTCCAGCCGGGGTATCTATTATAAGCAATTCAAAGAAAAGTCCAAATGAATATTATAAGTACGGTTCTCAGTACGGCTACAATACGGCTACTGTCCGACTGGAGTACGTGACATGTTTTTCATACGGGTAGCAAGAGCAAAAACTGGTCAGCTCAGATTTCGAATAATGTGACCAGGTAGAGTGTCATTTCTTCTTAATGAAATGTTTCCATCATTTCGGTCTAATACATTGTTAGGTTTAATGTATTAGCATGTTGTTGTCAAAAGTAAAAGCGACTATAAGAAACAAGGAAAATCAACTAACTCAGATATGGCGTGAACGCTTAAATTTTTTTAAATAAAGCTCAATCATTATTAATCATTTTTTACATACGCTTAACAGATAATATTGCTTCTAATGGAGTGGCGACTAAAAATCCTCCGAGCAAAAGTCATCCAGCATATCTGTCCATCGATGGAAACCGGACGGGTAGTTGTTCAAGGACATCTGGACCTCACTCATATCTCCAGGTTGACACTGGGTTTACGAGTATCATAACCATGATTTATCTGACTTTAAATGGTGAGTAACAGTTTCTTTCTCATATTTATCAAACATCAAACGAATGGAAAGCAACTGTCATATTCCTGACTAGGTACATGCATTTCCTTATGTAGAATATGATGGATTAAACCTGGTTCATAGCTAGCTAAACCTCTCACTGGTATGACAGTCGCATAAAATTCCATTATATTGACAACAAACAAAACAAACAGACATAATAGGTACAAATGTCAAAAATAGAGGTACAGCAGTCAACATTGTGTTATAATCTTAATCACTATAAACAAATATGTCAACAAAGAAAACCAAAATGGCAAATAGACAAAGCACTTAAGCAAAACTGAATGACAAGAATACAAAAAAAAATGACCACATCACACGAACACATTGGTGGGATGCATAAGTCTCCAGTCACGCCAACAAGATATTACCAAACATAAACTTTGCAGGAAAGGTTAATAATTTACAAAGACAAATAAAAGAAAACTATAACACGTTATTAAGATGATAAACAACGTCAGTACCTAGTATCTATACTTCAAGACCATCATGTATTTTTTGTGAAGTTGATACGAAATATTTATCAACTAGGTCTTGGTATCCTCCGATGATTTTTATTAGAAAAATTGAAGACGTTCTTTGACATAACCCTGATTCATCAATTTTCTGGCCAGACACTGGTGACGTAATGCATCTTTGGATGTATTTAAAAAGGCACACATAAAAACGTACAAAAACAAGACCGCAAAACAAAAGACACAAAAACAGAAAGATTGAGCAACTCAACCCCACGAAGATCCGGGTTAAAAAAAAGTTTTCTGGAAGGACCAACAGTTCTCGTTCCACTTATGACACACGTTGCGTTAGTCGTTGGTGACACATATATACGATGGTAAGGAAACAAACTGAATTATTGGTAATCTCTTAATTTAGAAATATTACCAAATTCAACAACCAGTACATGTGAAAAAATATCCTATTATTGATATTTTTTGAAATAACGATTTGTCGGTTTATAAATTATAAATTATTTAAAAGGTCTAAACGCCCTCATTCAAAGTTGACCGAAAATAGATATTTCTATAATTTCTAGGTCCTTTTTCATCAGATAGCTCTTCAACTGTTTCGGTCCTTATACATCTTTGGCTGTAAAATAGTTTTGCTTAAGTGTTCCTGATGAACATGATGAAGATAAAATATAATATTTCATATATATATATATATATATATATAGTCAAATGCGTTTTGTTAAAATATACTTTTTCACCCATTTGGTCTTTTGGAAAATGTTGTTTGTGCTGTATTTAGACCCCTCTACCAAGAAATTTGTTTTACATGCACACGTATAAAAATTGCGGTATTCATCCAACGCAATCATAGGTTTGAACGTTGTTTTCAATTAAGACTTGTTTATATTTTTACGTTTGGGCGTGATTTATATTTTCCTTCGGGTTTATATGATCCGTTCATCCTATTTCGACTCTTTAAAATTCAAGAGTCTATCCTAAATTGAGGTAAATTATATGGCCTCCCAAATACCGTTTCGATTCCTAACATCACTGAAGAGACATTAATTGTCAAAATCCGGATATGGTGTACAAATTTTTGCACCTCATGTTTGCGGTATACCATCTTCTCCGCAAGATTGTTGTTTTCTGTTTGGTATTAAATTAATAATTAAGATCCATGTTACATCTCGTGATCAATTTATTTGGCAATCGTCAAAGGCAGTCAGCAGGGTTTAAGAACATCAGTTGTTCGACCTGTTAGTCAAATGCGATTTGTTAAAATATACTTTTCACTTTTTTGGTATGTATATATATGTATATATATCAAAAACGTTTATTTCTTTTCCTAAATGGCTGTATGTATTTGTCAAAATGACCTTAGTGGTCTTGTGAATTACATGTTAAAGTTTATTTGATATTTGAGAATAAACTACATTTAATTGATATGTATTAACTTTATGAACACAGGGTCTGCACAATTGAATGCTGGCACTTATTCAGTATACTGTACAAACACAAGTGACGACTGGACAGACGCGAAAGTATTATACCACGGCCTTCGTCCGACGGAAGATATTCACGTATCTGCTGTCTGCAGATATGTTATCTATGTACCACCTACTATAAGTGGAAATTCCGAAGTCGATTTGTGTGAAATAGAAATTGGTGGTAAGTACTTGTCATATATCTTTATTAATCCTAGGTAATTTGACTGTTCAAACGCTTAGTTGGGTAGCCATAATTGCGGTAAACATTGAGACTACACTACCAACACTAAGCTTAAAAAAAGTAACTATAAGTAAAATTTTGCCTGATAAAAATGCATTCTTAGCGTTAATAATTTTAGGAGACCTATAAAAGGAATAAAATATCAAAGGCTTTTTAAAATGTCAAAAGATATAAATCATAATGGTCAATAGCTATGAATAGAATGCAAGAGAAGAAAATAACAACAGTCCAAAAACCTCAAGGGTGAGTGTGGGTTATGGTTATTTGCCGGTTAAAAATTTGAAGAACAAATATTTTATTCAGGGAGAAAGAAAAACACATGTCTAATCCAGATTTGTTCATTGAATCTAAAGTTCTTAAAATATATTCACATATCGCGCTAAAATAACAAATACATTATTTGATTATGTTGATGGTACAACCAATATATTCAGGATTAAAACCAAATACAAGAACCCCCTTCTCTTCTTTCAAGTTAAATGGTAGTTCCCTATCTTAGTTTAGTATTAACTGCATTCTTGATCAGTTCATACTTAATTGTATTCAGCAGTTCAGAGCATTTATTGTTGTTATCATTTAATGTATTGTTAGATCAGAGAAGTGTGTCTACTTCTAAATTACTAAAATTCTCATTATAACAAGTGCTTTTTTCAAATTTCTTATGTAGGTTGTCCTTTTGGAAAATATGGAGTGAACTGTGAAATGAACTGTTTAGAAAACTGCATATTAGGATCTTGTAATTTAGTTAATGGAAACTGCACACATGGTTGTGTTGATGGCTGGATTGGTGAAAGGTGCAACGAACGTAAGCATATTATATGGATCAGACAACAAATACTTGAGCTATACACCTAATTTTAGGAATGTTTTAATCATTTACTTTATAAAAATAACTGATATAAAGACAACATATAAAAAATAGGAAATGTTAAATGGGTTTGATAATAAAAACAATCTGATGTTACTCGCCAAAAAACTCGTTTAGTCTTTTAAGAACACACTTCATTGTTAGTTTTCGAAAAAAAAAAGATAGCGGAAGGAATTTTTGTAGTCAGTTTACGAGTAATTTGGGTGCCTATCATTAATTAATTTTGTTTTAGCCTGTTATGAAGGTTGGTTTGGAAAACAATGTATGCACGCATGTTCATCGCACTGTTTCTTGCCTCCTTGTAACCATGTGACGGGAGAATGTAATGGAGGATGTCAAAAAGGATGGAAAGATAATAACTGCTTTGATGGTAAGATACGTATTGTTGTATTGTAGGTATAACAGAGTGGTCCACACATCATGGATGTCTGGAAGCAACATCCTCATATTTAATCGAGACCAAATGTTTTAACAAAAAAAATATAAAACGTTAGACATCACAGTAAAATCATAATTTTATATCCATTATTTAATTCCTATCATTAGAAGTCATAACTTTATGTTCATATATGTATGTATTATTCAACCAACATAATGCTTTGGATTAACTAAACATGCATCATCATCAGCATCACCATCATCGTCATCATCATTATCGTCATCATCGTCATTATCGTCATCATCGTCGTCGTCATCATCGTCATCGACAACATCATCGTCGTCATCGTCATCATCGTCACCATCGTAATCGTCATCGTCGTCATTGTCATCATCAATAATTATGATTTTATATTTCGTCATCGTCATCGTCATCATCATCATCATCATCATCATCATCATCAATAATTATAATTTTGAATTGAAATGTTCAAACAATTATGCATTGACATTTTAGAATGCAGTCATGGATATTTTGGAAGAAATTGCTCACAGTCATGTGATGGATGCATATCGAACAATTGTGACCGTTTTGACGGCTTCTGCAATGTCGGGGACAAATGTAAACCAGGGTATATAAACCACCCTAAATGTAATCAATGTATGTATTTTAAAATAAGTCTTCTGTTCCAAAAACAATTTCAAGTTTCATAAATATTTGATGGAATGTTTAAGATAATTGTAATTTTTTTTTCATAATTGTTTATCTTCTATTTAAACGCAAGAGACCAATTGTGGTATTTCTAGACTGAAGGTTAGGGAATATTTGAACTGATATCAATATTTATAAACAACGTAATGGTGATCATTATTCTTCCACGAGAGTATTTTCTGTTCAGCAGTTTTCAGTTTGAATGTTTGAACCAAGGTTTCATTTCCGTATAGCAAAGTTGATGTAAGATGATAGCTGAAGGTATAAAGCCATGTTTAATATTTGGATTTCAAAAATTGTATATATATTTTAAGCAAAAGGGTGCTGTGCGAACAAAATGTGAAAAAAATAGCTACTACTATCTTAGATATGCGTTTTAACTTGGAAAAAACCAAGATTCGAAACGTTATTTTGCGACAATACAATGAAATGTTAATTTGTTTGGTTATTACTCATTTAATTTATTAATTGCTATAGCTAGTAGCTAGTATTTATAGTGTGTTCTCTAGATTGATGTATTTCATAAATATAAAAAATACATGTGTTTGCCGTAAGTACTATCAAAAGTAAATTTTTATGTTTTGTTTTTGTTTTGAAATCAATAATGAATTAACAATAGAAACAAAACTGTGTATGGCCATTTCTTAGTTTGTCCACCTGTTGTTAAGATTAAAGAACAAGCTGTGCAATGTGCACAAGTGTAATTCCTGTGCCATGTCAGCATTTCTGTACTTTTTGACATTTAAATATATATTCTTATTCATATTGTAGCTCTTATATTACCTAGTATTAATAAAACATTCAATATTTTAACAAAAAGATCAATTTAACAATAGATACAAAATGTGTTTAAACTCCAATACGTTCTATATAACTTTCAGCATGTGATTACTGGTTCTATGGTGAAAACTGTGCCAAAAAATGCAACTGCCTCTCTGATCCTTGTAATAAATCTACTGGATTGTGTCCTGACGGGAAATGTGACAAAGGATGGTTTGGTGAATCTTGTAATAAAGGTTTGTCAAAGACAGTATAATACTTCTTTGTGTTTTAGTGCTTTCAAAACTTCGTAGATATTCTGAAACTAGTAAGGTCAACCTGTAATTTGTTGATACACAATTTACAACACGCATTGCAAACAGTACGTAGGAATCATAAATGTATTAAAGGAAATGAGGCTGTAACTATAATCGAAAGAGCGCGGTTATTCTGTGACCGTAGCGTTAACATTAACATCTTTGACATTCCTATATTGCTGCTATGTATGTGTTGGAATGAACAAAATCATTTATATATTATCATGAATTATGTATGGAAGTGAAAAGTCTTTGAAGGAGACTTTAAATGATTTGATTCATTCCAAAAAAGAATTTGGGTTAAATATATGAATTTCTGTTCACATGTACTACTCAGTTAATTTAAAACATATTCTTCTGTTTATGTTTATTTCAGAATGCAGCGAAGGATATTACGGGTACAATTGTATCGGTTACTGTAACAACTGCTTTAACACGTCATGTGAAATATATGAAGGCAATTGTACTTATGGTTGTATTGAGAAGTTAAGTGGTCCACATTGCAAGCAAGCCGGTAATTACAGAGATGATGTTAAAATAGTTGATATATGCGTATTTATTGTATACTTGTTTTGTAAATAATTTGTAAGTACAAATCAGTATTTTTTTTAGTATAAATCAGCATTATTATTAACATTGAAATTAGTTTTGAAAGAATTATTAAATTAGTTGGCAAACGAAATCCTGAGACAATATAATTCGTTATTTACGTACTGTTATATTTATAGACTTTCAGCCGTTAGAAGAACAAGGACCTGTTACAATCGTTATAGGAGGAATTTGTGCTGCAATATTTGTGGTGATTCTTGCAATTATATGTTTTATCGTTTACAGGTACTTATTTGTGTCAGTAGTTTTCCTCTAAGAATAATATTCTCATAATTGATAGACAATACATATATTTTAAAGGGGGATTCACGGAAACATGGGAGCATACACTTATTATGTCAGTGCATCTCTAAATCAAAATCCCCATATTTTTGCCTATACTACTCTGCCATTTTATCCATTTATTTTTATTGTTCGCACATAATCAAGATATCACTGTCTTTTTATGTAAACATTATACATGATTATACAAAAAGTCATTAAAGTGATCAGTCTTATAATTCAGTACGACTGACACGCGTTTCGTTTCCATTCATTGTGACGTGTTTTAGCTTTGAAGCACAAAATTCCCAAAAGTAAAAAAAAAAGCCAATGGGCAACTTTTCATAAGGATAGAACAGTCTTAATGTTTCGAATGATTTTCACATTTTGTGAACGTTGAATTAACAGAAAATTAGTGCATCAATGCTATTTAATGCCTATACAAGAAATTAAAATCAGTGGATTTAAATTTTCTTTTGTGTATTACAGACGGTTCTTTAGATTGCAAAAACACAGAAATCATCCAACTATGAGAGAAAGTGAGTACCTATTTTTTTTTTTTATCTTTTTGATGTCTTTCATTGATATTAATATTAATGTTACTATAGATAAGAAAGAATATTTTCTTATACTAAATACCCAATGGTTAAATGGAAATGTATGATAAGACCAATGTTTGGTCCTTTAAATTCTGTAATCAAATTTATTATTATTCTACCGATTACATTATGACAATCGTCATCTCTTCATACATGTAATGCATCAGCATGTCAAACAGCAATTTCTATTTATGCAATAGAGCTTCATCATTATTGCATTGTGTGCAAAATGACAAAAAGCCACGTCATAAGATCGTGTCATTAATATATGATTGATGATATAGACTAAGGGGTCATTCAAAAACCAAGATTAAGTGGAAGAGTGGCAAAAACGAAGCTGGCGAAGAGACAAACAAGTCCACAAAAAACTAAATAAAAACATAAGACAGAGCAACACTAGATTATTGTACGAAGATGTGGATGTGATCATGTGACTAAATGATTTTTTCGGGTGAGGCCTTTGCTCATTATGAAAACAAGGAGATGTGGTATAATGACATATGAGACAGCTATCCATCAGAGATCAAATGAAGTGGATGTTATCAATTACAGGTCACCGTGCGGTTTTCAACAATGAGAAAAGAACCCATACAGTATAGTTGGCTATGAAAGGCCCGACATGAAAACTGTGAAACAAATTAACGAGAAAACTACCAGCTTAATTTATAACAAAACAATTTACGAAAAACAAATATGACAGATATGAATCAACGACAACCACTGAACTACAGGCTCTTGACTTGAGACAGGCACATACAGAATGTTCCCCTCCCAAACCTGGAACAATGGTGTAACATCACACAATAAAACCAAACTAAGGTACAGCAAAATTTCCGAACCAAATCTTAGTATCTATGAACTGATGAAAGAACTTGGTTAAGGTCTTCTTAAACTTTTGTTCACGAAATCCCTTACTGAATAATTGACCAGTTATTCAAAAAATTCATATCTATTTGGTTTTCCAGACTATGGGCAAAATTTCGATTTTTAGGCCAAATATGTCAATTTCTACATGTTCATGGAATCCTCAATGACCTTTCTTCACTAAATTGTCATATTCATTTATAAAAAAATACAATGTTTAGTAAGGCTTGAATAATTTAAGTATTTTTACAATTTCAGGGGCCAACAAATGTATCTTTTAAGACCATCACCTTTTTAGGAAATCTCATATTCTGTCAAATAGCCTTTGATATAAATTTATATCATTTAAATCCAAAAGTTGTTAGTAGAAATCTGGTTACATAAACATTCTTCCTAAAAACACGTGTATGGTAATTTATTTGACCTTCACATGGGACATTCGACGAGTTCATGTTATTTTAGATTTATCAATCAAACAAAAAGTTCATATTTGAAAGGTTGGAGGTTAAGTTATTTGATTATCATTCAAACAATTTTCTTTGTGCAAGGTACAATTTTTATATACTATTATGGGATAAAATTCCTCAAACTTTACAGATCATGCGTTTGCTTCCTTGAAACATGCATATCTTAAAGATAAATATCGAAATATATTTTACGCACGTTTACTTAATGAAAAATAATTATGTGTGTCTTAAAAAAACCCGCAATTGTCAGTATTATAACGCTGTTACACTACTAAGTCTACCCAAACGAAATAAGTCAGTAAATGAAGTAAGCATATGGCCGATCTGCCTTTTATGTAACATGAAAAATTAGTTTGATCGTTTTAGATCCGAACTCGTTTTAGATCCGAATTCGTATACCCCTAAAAAACTTGCCAGACAATAGTTGCATATAGCTGCAGTAAAAATATAAATGTTTACATTAACAATGTAATGAAATGTCACAAACCTCGTCCTTCTTAATCTGTTATTTCTTAGATCTATTTGATTTTTTTTAAAGGAATGAAATATTCACGAATGCATAAAAAATGAAGTACACACAAGTTTTCAAGCTGAATTTATGCTTTCCTACCATTATTCTCTTCCAAAAAAAAGGAAATAAGCAGTATGGTATATATGAATTTGCACAGAAACTAGAGAACGTACGCAACTCGCATACCTATGAACATATATGATTAAGCAGTAAACATATAGTCTATAATTTGTATCATAGAAAAGTAAATACAAATTTGTGAGCTACAAAGCTTAAAAAAATTAGATTAGTGAATGCGGCGACGTTAAACGAAAATACAATACCTGCGAACAAATAACATAATATTGTTTGGATGTAATTATAAAGAATCTTTTTCATTCATTGATTGAAGAAATGTTTCTCTAAACAAACTTCTTCCTATATTGTTTCTCAATTTTCAGATACAAAGACTCGTTCAGCTACAACTGATCAAAGTGTAATGTATGAAAACGTGAAAGGCGACTTTACAAGTTCAGAAAATATACGACTATCGTTTGAAGAAAAGCACGATGGAAAAATCCAAACATTTGATATAAGTTCTAATGATTTGCCAGATGAAGAGGAAGAGGGGAATGTCAATGTTTATGGCAATGTTATTTCGGAAGATGATATATGTCAGTACAAAATTCAAATTGAGGACCTGTCAAACGTGATAAATGAAAAGCGTAAAGACAATGGCTTTGAAAATGAATATGGGGTTGGTAGAACACATGTTCTCTTGTTGAATTCACGATTCCATTAGTCAATATTAAACTTTGTACAAATTGTAATTTGTACCAGCACTTTTTTGATAAATTATAATTTGTACAAAATCCAAACACAAGTTATAATTTGTACAAGTTTTTTGGACGAATTATAATTTGTACAAAATGATAACGTGTACAAAACGTGTGTCTTAATACACATATACGTACATTTCGGCCAAAATGATTTTTTTGCAAATTTAATACCCAGCTCAAAATTTGCATTGATATATCGTGTTTGATAAGTTTTATACTTATTAGTTGTCGCCTCCAATATGGTTGCTGCAATATTGTGAATTTACGGACATTTTTAGTATATCTTAGTATACTTCGAATTTAAGGAGATTTTTAGGATGACTTGGTATACTTCGAATGACGTCCTCCAAATAAATATATGACGCATTTAAATAGTCATAATATACAATACGTGATCGAGTATCGACAAGTATCCCAAGCACAAGACCTTATGGTTTATTTTTAAATAGGATCGACTGTGATAACTGCTTAAAATATATGAATATTCGTAGGGGAAAGTTTACCTACTGATACTTTTAAGATATCTCAGAGAGCTTCTTAGAATATAACGTATCTCAATCTCCCCAAAAGAGACAGTCGGATTTAGAGTTATGAGTACTCTTTTAAACCTATCAAGACAACGCAGTTATACATTATACACATCATTAAATAAAGGCAACAGTAGTATACCGCTGTTCGAAATTCATAAATCGATTGAGAAAAAACAAATCCGGGTTACAAACTAAATCTGAGGGAAACACATCAATATAATAGAACAAAGACACAACGGAAACACTAAAATGCAGCACACACAGAAACGAATTATAAGATAACAATGGCCATTTTTCTGACTTGGTACAGAACATATTAAGAAAAAACAGTAAATTTATAAAATATAAAAATGACCATATAATTGATATACATGTTAACACCGAAGTGGTGACTAACTACAGAATAAAAACGAATACGTAAAACAACCTAGATCAGCACATAAAAAACAGCACAACAGAACAACCCAATGTATGTCAGCCAAATAGATCGACGCACAAAAGTGACGTCACAGGTAAATTTCTAAAAATTTCCAAAAAATAGGATAGAGTTCAAGATTAGGTTTGTGATACTGATATTACATTATTTAATAACAATGAAAATTATAATACTTATTAATATAAAATTGTGTTAGTAATTAGATAATTAATTGTATTATTTATCATAAAACCTTTTTCAGCATAGTATTATTAAATTTAATGAATAACTAATTCCTACCTAACCATTTGACGATTATTGAATTGAATTGAATTGATGTTAAGCTCTAGAATATAATTAAAATGTACAGAATGGGACATTTAAACTGGCATATACTTGATTAATAAGTAAAACGGGGTATAATATATTTTACAGATGTTCCCAAAAGGTCTAATTCATGCTCATGTTGAGGGATCAAAAGAAGAAAATAAAGCTAAAAATAGATTTTTGTCGACATGGCCATGTAAGTGAAAAATATTAATTACGAAGATTTATGTAGGAAAATACCATGTTCAAATTTATAGTAGTTTATTCATTTGTGTACTTGGAAATCATATCCATGGTTTTAAATAACAGTTACCATGGAAAAATGAAAAAGACTTGAGAAAGCTTTAACGGTCGAACTTTGACATCTACACTCTATTGATACATATCATTATGAATTAATAATTTGTGTTTTAGATTGAATTAGTATTGTTGGTCCCATACACAAAATATATATAATTTATGCTAGAAAATAAATGTGTATCAACATAACGACAAACCATGATTTCATTACAGATGACCACTCCAGAGTAGTTTTGAAAGGAGATACAAAATCGGATTACATAAATGCAAATTACATCGACGTAAGTTCCTAATTGTATCTATATATACAGGTTGGAATAACAATGTAGATGTTATAACATAAAGTGCATGTAACATACCTTTGAATTTATAAAACATATATATTAAATAGTTTAAAATCAATAACAAATAAAAAATAATTAAAAATAACAGTATTAAAGACCAAAAATGAAATAAAAAAAAAAAAAAAAAAACATATCATGCATTTCTGTAACCGAGTAAAGTTCATATTAATTTTTGTATCTAGAGGAAGTTCATATAAACTATCATCAATTGCTTTGGGTAAGTTTACCCCTCGGGCCACCCCCAATCCCCCCAAACAAATAGGCCAAAAGCCTAATATATGGAAATTAGCAATCATGGTACTTTAGGTTCAGTGATATTTATCTGTCAATGTTATGACTTGTAGGTTCAGTAATATTTATCTGTCAATGTTATGACTTGTCAATGTTGATTATTTATGTTATGATAATATTTACCTTTTCTAAATAATCATTTATTAAGCGTTACCTTTTTAAAACTAATTAGTCACGAAGCGTTACCTTCTTAAAATGATTAGATATGAAGCGTTACCTTTTTAAAAATAATCTGTATGAAACAATAACAGATTTAAATATATCTAAATTGCAGAGCTATGATAAAGAAAAGGCGTACATTGCCACACAAGGTTTGTATATCAAATTAACAAAAAAAATGGTTTTTTCTCATATAACATGTATAAAGGAAGATACCAGTTTTTGTTGTACTTTGTTTCAGACTAGTATTATCACAATTGTTATGCCCCACCTAGGGGCATTATGTTTTTCGGTCTGTGCGTCCGTTCGGACGTCCGTCCGTTCGTCCGTTCGTTCGTTCGTTCGTCCGTCCGTCCGTCTGTCCCGCTTCAGTTTAAAGTTTTAAGTTAAAGTTTTTGGTCAAGGTAATTTTTGATGAAGTTGAAGTCCAATCAACTTGAAACTTAGTACATATGTTCCCTATGATATGATTTGTTTTAGAAAATGATAGTGCGAGTGGGGCATCCGTGTACTATGGACACATTCTTGTTTTTTTATAGTAATTATAATAATCATAAATTGATTCAAATCACGTTCTCAAAATTGTAGTTATATTTTCAATTTGATAAATTGCAATCATTCTCATAAATGGAACGTTAATTGAGCCAGTAAATGGCTGAAATGTATTTGTTATAGTTTTTGCAATGACGCAAAGCCGTGGTATGAATTGTACTGCCTAATTTCATATGAATTACAGTCGTTACTTTTCGTATCAATCCCTTTTGTCATTACGAACAGTGTCAAAATAGTATACAGAAAACAAAACAAAAACAAAAAGTTTGTAAAACCTACTAAACGCACACACCAATGGCGTTCGAATCAAAGCAACCAGAAAATCAAATTAAATTCCAAAACAATATAAAAAGTATAACCGAGAATAATGGCAATAGATGAAATCAAGCTTAAAAAATTAATCTGCTACAAGAGTCATTACACACTCTCTTTCTATGTCTGTTATAATATTATATATCATAATCACATGACCATACATGTAGATGACATTTACCATTACCCGAATTCATTTTCTGAAAATGGTTCTTTCCCTTTACTCACCAAAATCTGAGTGAAAACAATGTATCCTAGTGTGTTAAACAAGATGTTGCAATACTAGTTTTCAAAATCAGTAAAATTACTTTTCAGTAAACTACATTGTAAATCTAAATTGTTTTCTTTTATCAGTTAATGACTTTTAATTCGAGAAGCTGAAAGTTCGGATACATACTTCATATTTCACATTTGGATTATTCTTATTTAGAGGTTAGTTTGTCATGTGACTGTATGCATATATAGAATTAGAAAAAAACATCAACAGGGATGTTTTTTATTGCGTGCAGAGCAATTTGCCATTCCATGCTAAACAGTTTTAGATGCAGACCAAATTGATGCATGCTTACACCGAATTAAGAATGTACAGTTATTCTGCCAGCGAGTCTTAAACAGTTTCAGATGATGGCTGTTTATGTATGTTGTTCAGTTAACAATACACGAATAGAGAATAACTTACAAACCTTGTCCAGTCATATCATGCATATTGATAATGTTTAAAAAGAAAACAGAATACACATTGAACGACTGGTGCAAATGTCCTTCATGGTCTATTTCGCTTGTTTATTTTATGATTTCAGGTCCAAAAAAAAATACAGTGAGAGATTTCTGGCATATGATATGGCAGGAAAATGTTGGCAAAATAGTGATGGTCACCCAACTGGAGGAAGAAGGAAAAGTATATGACATCATTAAAATGTTGAATATTTGAGTTTTAAAGTCCATTCAGAGGATTAAAAACAAAATTTTACTTTCTTGTTAATTTTAGATAATTTTGAAGTAGTAAAAATGGAGTAGCACGCAATGTAGATCAAAGTTTGCCGCGTTAAGGTTTTGACTTTACTTCCATGATCAGTGAGAAAAAACAAAACAATATGAAAGTATTGTCAAACAGGGAATTGCTGCCTGGCAAACCTGAAAATTGCTTACATTGAACAACTAATTACTGTTATGAATAACAAATTAGTTCTAACCAAAATCTGGAAACTTTCGTTGTTTTGGTATCGACTCTTTGAATGGAATCATTTATTGACCTTACGCAGACATTTCTTGAGAACGAAGTTTGAGAAAAATGACTGTTTTCCTGAATATAAATACAAGTCATTGGTTTGAGGGACTAGACATTACGTTTCGGCCGTAAGTGATTGATTTTAACAAAATCTGTACTGTTCTATCCTCAATTGGGATGCCAAAACTTTGAATATTATTTTAATCAACGTGTACATGTCAGAAACACACATGCTACCTTAACGTTTTTGTTAGGTTTGGCAGCGACACTTGTCATTGTCAATAACTTAAGACCATGAATATATATCTAAATGTGGATTATATTGTTGAGCTAACGGCTGTCTTAACGACATGCATATGCCTTTTTAGTCATATGATAACGATTTATCTTTATTTAAAACAAACAGTATCACTAAATGAACATATCTTACTGTACCTTTGCAGAAAAAATGTGACCAGTATTGGCCACAGACAACTAACAAGCCATTGATAGTAGACAAAATTATATTAACCATGGATGTAGAAAAGGAACACTCTGTATACATGTACAGGCTGATAAAAGTTAGACACAAATTGGTAATTTACACTTTGTTTTGATTAGTGTCAATTTTGTAATGCTGATACGCAGGCAATTGTTAAACATCGTGTATGTCTATGAGAAACCAGCTTAAATATACGCCTTTACTACAACCACTATATCATAGTTAACTAAACAAGAACTCTCTATCAAAATTACTTTCACTTTTTTGAACCATAAAGTGTATACAAATTCTTCGATCGGTTTTTGACAACATGCCAGTAAACAGAGCCCTAGTGGTAGTTTTTGTCATCATCTGTTAACGTTTAAAGGAGTTAAGCTGTCTACAAAAAGTCAGTGCAGTACATATGTTGACAATAGAATGACGTAGTGCTTTCACAGTCAAGCATTTCAATAATTTGCTTTTTTCTTCTACAGGAAAAACACGAACGAAAGGTTCATCATTTTCACTTTACACAATGGCCTGATCATGGTGTTCCAGACAGTATAAAGCTGGTGAATTTCTATAGAGCAGTCACGAATATGAGCTGTGATCAGCCTGGACCACTTCTCGTACACTGCAGGTAATTTAATATCTATATGAGGTAATTGCTGTGTACATAAAATCAAAAAAACAAATGCAAAGGACATCGATGATCTGATACCATATTTAAAACAGCACATGCCATGTTTAATAGTTAAATTCAAAAACAGCTACAAAATTTCGAACTGAGAAAATATAGCGAATCCTTGATAATTATTATTATTTCATTTTTTCAGCCGTTGCTTTTCCGAAGAATCCAACAAGAAAGCGTAGCTGAATAGTCTGTTAAAAAAAGAAATACAATGCCAATTAATCAGCTTGAAAGGTACCAAAGAAGTCGCACAATATATGTTATACTGTTGGTTTACTTGCAATATAATCGTAGAAAAACCAATTCTAATCATTGAATATGTTTCTGAAATGATTTTTTAGTGCAGGCATAGGCAGAACGGGTACATTTATTGCAATAGATTCCTTATACGAACATGGAAAATCAGTTGGTTATATTGATGTCAAGGAATATGTGAAGATTATGCGGAAGGACAGAATGAATATGATTCAAACATTTGTAAGTTGAATACGATATTTAATAGTTAAATCTTTAGTAAAGATACGATACAATATAGAAATAAAAAATTAAACTTTCCAGTTTAAAATACAACGTTATCCTTTATTTATTACATAGTTGTTGCAGTACATTCATAACTTAAATTTTTATTAGTTCATTAACCGTTTTAGCAACTTAACATATCAATAATGAAACAATGCCTGATTTTTTTTTATTTGAAACCACTCGGTCAATTATGACGACTGGATAAACTTTTATGCCAAAGAAAAAAATAATGCAATAATTATCTATTTGGAAATATAAAAAGTCAATAAATGTATGGTCGGCTGTCCAAATAACTATCCATCAAATAAAGCTAATATAGTAAGCATAAACGGGAAATGTATGACCAATAACTTACTACCTCGGCCTAAGATAAATGAATGGATGATAAATACGAATGACAAGGTATTTAATTCACAAGTTGTTATACTAAAACAACACAACACACTACAAAAACTACATTAAAAGTCCAAGTTACTATATACAGATAGAAATATTGAAACGAAAGTTGATGCCTACACATGCAAGTATTGCTTATCAATGAAAACCATGAAATTTGTAATAAAGTTTTGATCGTAATCAGCGATTTTGGGGACAAAAACATCCCCAAAATCATGGATAAATCAGTTTGTTTTAATCGTGTGAATCATTGGGAAACAGTGGGTTTTGATTGATTGTTGTATTTAATTTATGAAATGCACAATTGGAAGGTAATAACTCACGTTAATAATTTCAAACCGCTGGGAATACCGTTGTCTGACTGTATATGTAATATGTTAGATTGAAGATATTTTTCTGATACCTGTAGTGCTATACGTATTGTTTCTGATCGTATCAGTAGCACAGTAGTCAGCACTTTTGTGTTGAGATGAAATATCATTGATGTGTTTATTTTCTGTAATCTACTTTCTGCATAATCTGTCGAAACATTAGGATTTTTCTACCCAGTAATAGATTACCTAAGCCGTATTTGGCACAACATTTTCGAAATTTTCCATTTGTTATGCTTTTCGGCTTGGTTTTTGATTTGCCCTTCCAACTATGAAAGCAACAGATCAATCTAATGTAGACGAAAGGCAAGTCATGTGTACTTGAAATTCGTGTCTGGTATCTTTGTATGTTTTTATCAAAATTCTAGTTTATACTAACAGTTTAAATATTGGTTATCAAATCATAGTGTCTTACAATTACATGATTGTTCGTCACAATACTAGTTGAGGACTCATATCTATTGCTTTCAAATTTTAGTTTTATATTTGTAGGAACAATACGAGGCTGTCTTTGAAACATTGCAAGAATTGTTTACCGTGCCAGATACATCTATTCCAGTATATGATTTCTGTAGTTACGTTCAAGAACAAGAAAATAACAAAGTTCCACAAAATCAAAAGACATACCGATTAGAGTTTCAGGTATATACAGTTGAAATAACCATAATCGATTGCCACTAACAAAAATATAGAAAGACAAGAAAGAACAGAAAAAAAATTGAGAATAAAACAGTGATAGACTGGTATTAGCAAAATTAATTACTGACTGCCGTTCAATGGCAACCGAAACTACGTGTCTAAAAATCTTGTGTGCTTTAATTTTGTGTAAAAGATAACCTTCAGAATAGTTTCTGTGTAAAAGTAATGTGAGTGGAATGTTTTGTTTAATCTTTTTGCTTTATGTTTTGTTTTGCGTTGTTTTTTATGCTTTTTAGAATAATGATATATTTGCAAAAATGTCAAGCATAGTACTAGTAAACGAAAACACTGAAAATTTTTCTCAACACAAATATGTGGGTGCAAAAGTCATACTCAAGATGATGCAAAATTAGTATACATATAATCGTTAAAATCTACGTACAAAAGTATCAATATCTTTGTTCTTGATAAGAAGAATACAAACATTGATAATTGTAGTTTTAAAAGAGGAAACAATTCGCAAATAAGCCACAAGAAGTAAGGGAGATTAGGGCAATACGACATTAAGGTATCAACCCAATGACACAGAAAACCTGAAAATAATCGGATTTTCTATATTCGAGACGACATAGATACATGTAGGTGTAGAGATTGTTGATATTAATATTATAAAATTGAGAATGAAAACGGTGAATTTGGCAAAGAGACGACAACCCCACCAAAGAGCAGAAAACAGCACAAGGCCACAAATGGGTCTTCAGCGAGAAAATCTCGCACCTGGAGACGGGCCTCAGCTGGCCCCTAAACAATAAATTAATGTACATTTTATGTATGCATATATAAAGTATACATATTTATACATACAATTTTGTGTCATATGTTTTTTTAATCATTGTATGTTAATGGAAAACACTACACCATACTTGTTTTAATAGAGGTTGCAAAGTCTTCGTCCCTCATACTCTGCTGACAATTTCACATCTGCAAGACTCGAAGAGAACATTTCAAAGAATGCAGTAAATTCTATTTTACCACGTAAGTGTATGGAATATATATCATGTTTTATTATTTACCTTATAGACGTGTATATTTTCATTTATTTTATATTTTTTTTAACACGGTTGTGCAATGTAGTCAGAGAAAATTTTGTTAAGAAAACAATATATGCAGTTTACACAGGAGGCATATCAGCACCACAAGATATCTAGTGTGTAAATACATGGTTTTAAATTTTTTTAATGAAAGCATATAGTAATCTGACGCTTTATATCTTGCTGTCATTTTCTAATAAATAATAATAATCATTCTACTTACATGATTTTGAAAGTAAACAAGAGCGCAAGTACTACCTGTTTAGAATCGTTTAAACAAATGTGCTGCTAAAAACGTGGTTTTAGTGGTAATAATTGGTTGCAATCTCCTTTGGATAATTTAAGATTGCTAAATATTATCTTTTTTTCAAAACGTCAGCAACATCATCAATAATAGAATTACAGTTAAAAATATGTATTAAATTATAAAGCTCCAGCCTCCTTGATTGCCTGTTTAATATCATTTAAAAACGAAGGACCACAACAAAGACGCGACCAAAAGTTGATTCACTGACTTAACCGATACTTTTCAAATTAACGACTGTCGTAAATCATTGTGGAACATTTGGCAAATCCGCTCCCGATTGGTAAATAAATTATTGTTAACGTGTTAGATTATGGATTGAATTAAATGAAAACTGTATTGTATTTGAAGCATTGCGGAAGTCCATCTTTAGTTTTAGTATCGCAAATTGAGTTTACCTGGCGACGCGCAGCGAAGACACATAAACGGATATTTGCGACAGTTAATCTACCGATGGACATCGTCAAAGCTTAAAAATTAATAAAATACAGTTATCTCTATTCTAATGCAAAATAAATACATAATTCAATTTAAGTCATTATTTCAGTGTAAAATGTTCATTAAACGAAAATTCCGCGAATTGATGTTATCTTCTTTGGCCCCTAAACTAGGTGACGTCATAGGTATGCTTCCGGTGTCAAACGTAAACACCGGGCGTTTTCTGGCTTCCTGACCGCCTCAGAATGTAATATAACTTGATAAAAAGAAGATTTCAAGGTGCACAATGTGAGTTTTTTTGGAGAAATCACATGTCAATACATTCCGGAATTTAAAATGTCGGCTTCCTTAGTTACAGATGAGGAGATAGAGAATTTTACGCTTACCGTCATCCAACATATCCAGAAATCAACGCCACTTTGCTTATTTGAATATTATACTAAAGAAATCGGATACGGGTCACGGAAATTATATTGAAATGATAGGGAATTTTGAAAAAAATGTCTGTTTTAACTTTAATTTTTAGTGATAGACAGGTTGCGGGGACAGAAAATAAATATACACAACAAAATACACCATTTAAACAAAACATAATGACTGTCGTTGCAAAAATCAAGGTTCCTGAGCTATTTTAAAAATCGAAGCAAGAGGCTTTTAACATTGCAGTATAAAATACAGGCTGAAATGGCTGAAACGTCAAATTTGCAAACTTCGTGTTGAAAATTGGCTAACAAGGTCATTACAAAAACAGGTTGCGGGGATGAAACTTGAAACTTGAATGTCCAAAAAATAAGCAAGTCCAAACCTTGTATGTGTAGTCGTTGAACTCTAGGTTCCCACGTAAAGTTAAAATGCCCCTATTTCAAAAAGAATAAACTCACGAAAACACGAAAAATTCACTAAATTCGCGTTCATTGTTTTGATTCTGACCGTCTGTCAACTTTACGGAAATATCAGAGTGATTATAAACAAGGACTCTGTGACGGGCAACTTATAATATCCGTGTTTTAAAGATTTTAATGATATCAAGCCAGTCCAGTTCAAACTATTATCACGTGGTCCAATTCTCATTTTCATATTATGAATATTAATTAGCAAAAGTACTACTAAGTTCTGGCTATGATCAGAACCATAATTGCATTAGAATTAGGATCGCTCGCTCAAAATGATTATAAGCAATCTGTTTGTCAAGAGCATGATCGTTTATCATATGTTATTTTTCGTCTCTCTTTTAGACTTTTTAAGACTGTTTGCCTTGTAGATTTTTAGTAACGACATTTTGAATAAATGAACATATTAATGAATATTTTTGTTGAATTGGATAGGAATAGAAATTTAGCCTAGCAACAGGCCACCTTCCGACCCCTCATAGATTCGTTGCAAAAAGTGAAATAACAAAACAACCGAACTCCAAGGGAGATTCAAAACGGAAAGTCTCTTATCAAATGACAAAATCAAAAGCACAAAGACATCAAAAGGATGGAAAACAACTGTCATATTCCAGATAGTTCTTAACGACCAAAAAGCGTTGCATTCTCTCTACCCAGTCATCGGATTTACCGTCCTCATTCTGACCGGACGCTTTTACAGTTTGATAAGAGGCCATAAATCCAATGCTTAGTGCTGACAGAATGCTATTTTGTCTGCAAGCAAAATGAATAAACTCATTGGCGGGTGCCACAAAAATGCGAAACGCCGATTTCAGCAATTATGCAATTTGATGACGAGAAATATATTTCGGAAACTTACAAATTTGATTCCTTCAAGTCTTAATCCGTATATCGAGACATGCTTCCACAGACATGTTTTGTAATACATCTGTTGCGAGAAATTTATTGGAAAAAGTATGACAAAAATTCTCCAACGTAATTGCAAAAAGTGGTAAGTCCATAAAAACTGACAAACTTTAGACAATATCAACCAACTAAACGAATGGAATACAAATGTCATTTTGCTGACTTGATTTAATAATTGATGCAGATATATTGAAAAATATGCTATAATATCCCATAGATGTAGGTTTACGCACATTTTATTGTTTATTTAAAATCGAAAATAAAATAGATATCATGTGATAAAAAAGTTTTAAATCCTGCATAAAGACATAGCATGTATACAAAATGCCTCAAGTAGACAAAACATCACGAATGTGGATACAGCGTTTTTATTTTTTGGTGCTATGTATCAACATAAGGGACGAGTGAATGCTCTTATGTAACGTCTTAAACTATTGATTTGGGATTATGTTTTAAACATATTCCTGTTTTGGTTTTTTTCGGTTTTTACAAGACTGCTCAGATCATTTTCATTTGCATTGTAGATGATGACTATAGGCCATATCTCATGTCCTTTGGTAAGAACAAAACCAATTACATAAATGCAGTTATAATACCAGTAAGTGCAAAGTTATCAGTATTTATTTTCCATGCAATATGTGTTCCGGTCATATAAGTTGGTCTCATTAAACAAGTTTACAGAACGAATTAAGTAAAGCTTGTGAAATAGTTATTTCTAAGTGTAACCCGTTTGTAGACTACCAATCACTTTCTAATCGACCTGTGATGAATATGTGTATCACATGTATCATTGTGAATCATACAACATTCCCGTGTTGGTGTATTTAAAAAGTATATAAAGTTTTACGTGAACATGTAAAACATTTGGTTTCCGAATACGTGCATGCAAGTAGTCCTTTGAAAAAGTATCTATGCAAAAAATAATGGTTCTGAAGTATATGAATACGTAATCATCTTTAATGCATAATGTGATACTGCACTAATTTCGACAACATTATTTTCTTCAAAAGCATATTATTGTAGTAATTTTATGTAAATATATAAATCTTATTATTTTTAGGGATACTCAGTACAAGGAGCCTTTTTGGTTACCCAATGTCCATTAAAAGAAACTGTGGTTGATTTCTGGACAATGGTGTATGATCACGACTCCAGTATTGTTGTTTTATTGGATACACTTAATGAAGTGAGGCAATTACGAACAATTTAATTATTTCTTTTGACAACACGATCATGACTGTATGCATAAATCTAACTGTTGGTGGCATAATAGCTGACAGTCATCTGGTAATATTGACCTGTAAAATGAAAAGAGCAACAGTACTTCAAACATATCAGACGGCTTTAATTTTATTGACGATAAGTTTTACATTTTCAAAAACATTAAGATGATCAAACTTTAAGGATAAATGAATCAAACATGAAATGAGTCACCAATACATGCGGGAAAGTACATACCTTGAATTTCAGAATTCAGAATGATACATGAAAAACTTGGACGCGCCTATTTCTAGCCACGTAAAATACATGTTCCGTATATTGTCATCGGAGTTCTTGAATAAGAATGACGGAACAGAAAGAAGATCAACATTGTTAATTTATGTCACCACTAAGTCTATAAGTCAAAATAATAAATAACGTGTCTAGCATTTAAAACTGTTTATGTTTAAAAAAAAACGGTTTACAATACCTATTTTGTAGCATGCATCAACAACTAATCGAATCTCGATAGTTACAACGAATTGTAAATCTTATCAATATAATATATATTCACTAAACATTTGTACCATTGTCATACATTTTTAGAATGGGATGTATTCAGGCAGTTTTATTCGTAACTATCAGTATACATAAAAGTAAATAGCTTGAAATAACACCCGGTTTTTGGTTCGGTTCGCGTTGCTCAGTCCATCGTTTTCTATGTTGTGTTTTGGTGACTGTTGTTTGTCGTTTTGTCTTTTTTCGTTTTTGCAATGGCGTTGTCTGTGTGTATACAGCTTTCAGTTGGAATGCTAATTTCCTTATGTGTCTTCCGCCTCTCTTTTATTGATGCCAATTTAATTCTATATTTATCATATGATCTATTTAGCTAACCGAATGTTGTTATGATTTTGCATTAAAAATGCATTACGTCTGATTGTTTCAAAACATATACGTTACGGTATACATATTCATGACTTCCAACATATGCAACATATGTATTATATGTGGTACGTATACTACTTCCAGAATATGCAAAGCCCGGTCTGCATGCGCCGCTATTACAGACAGGTTGTACAAAATGAATTTAGACTGGAAATTTATTGCGTTTTGTCTGTTACTTAAAACACAAAAGTAAAAGTTTACTGATAAACATGTACACCGAACACAATATAAAATATTGAAATCGGCGAAAATGTATATCATATAGGCTATAATCTTCAATATCATTTCTATATGAAAATTTAAAAAGTACATAACTGCTAGCTGTGATAATAAGTTTAGGCTGAAAACAAATTAACGTTTTATTTATATTTGGAGGTATTCGTGTTTGTTGCAGATCTTTCATAGTTTCAGTTTAAATGCAGCTACAACGTTATTGATACACTAGGGACAATTCAGACATATTTTGTCTATAAAGACGTATGTTGACCTCTTGACGTCTACTTGTTATTTGTGGCGTTGGTTAGCCTTTATCAATTACGTATAGCTAATTCTTATTATACACCCGCTTTAAAAAGTGGGGATATACTGTTTTACCTCTCTCTGTCCGTCCATCCGTCAGTCCATCCGTCCGTTCGTCCATCCGTCCCATGAATAGTTTTCGTCGCATCTATCTCAGGAACTACATCATAAGGATTTCTGAAATTTGGTTTAAGGATTTATATAAGTCAGCAGTTTCACTTGTTTTAATTTTAAATCTTTAAGAATAGATAAAAATAAAACCTGATAGGTTATGATATTTTTCAAAATTGTTCAAATGATGTTTTTGGCGATAAATATTTCAGGTCATAATTCAACATATTATTTTCTACATTATTAAGGACAAAACGGACCGTTCGTTTTGTCTTCAGTGTATAGTGTGTAATTGTAAACTTACTGCTTCCGTAACATTGTAATGTAGTTGGTACACGTTAGTACATGTACATGGTATATCCTCATGCTTATTTTTAGTTTGTCGGTTGACTTTGGAATCTAAAGCCACATTACAGACGGGTCACGATAAATATTATTATATAATGATAACAAGATTAATTAAACGCTTATCTTAAACATAATCACGAAAAAATAATTATATATTAGCCTGTCACGTGTAGTGTGTCATCTGGTGTTCACTGCGTCTAAATATTCATTTTTAAAAGTCCACAGTTAATTACTTTAAATATATTGAAAAGATGTGACCACATAAATATATGAATCAAGTAAATAAAATAGTACTCAATACTTACATCCCAGTTCCTTTGTTCTACCAGGGGTGATCTGAGTCACATTTTGGCGTGAATGACAAATCCACAATAAAACTTAGAATTACTTATACGGAAAAGACTTACTATCAAAATTTATGTAGTAAAAATCCAGTGTCTATGCTGGGATTCGAACTCAAGACCTGTAGCATATAGACCATCGATCCATACCCCTACACCAGGACGACTGGATAAAAACTCTGTGTTAATTTTACATGCTTAACATATTTAAACAATTTGTCCGGGGCTCATTAAGGGTATATGCTATATAGAAATAAATAAAGTATATTATATTTATTGTGTGGCGTTCTAAACTAGATTTTATGAAGCGTAAATGGTTTTATATCTAATCTAGAACAGCTGGGATGTAAAATAGTTATCCCATTCGGACTTGTTGTGTCAGTGTTAGATCACCCTCTGGCCTCCGGCCATGGGGTGATCTTACACTGACACACCGCGTCCTCATGGGATAACTATTACTTATCAATCTGAAGTAACAATTTCATAATTCGGTTTATTTTAAGGATGCTCCATTATGGCTAAGAACAGAGAAAAGACTGGAGTTTGAAAATTTTAACATTGACCTTGATATTGATAAGACACCGATAGAAGTTCAACTTTCTATTGTTCAACGAGTGGTAAGATAATAAGATTAGTTTTAAACTATAGAAGAACTGTTTATTTGTCTATTTTTAGGACACACATGATATTATTTGTTGCATGCTGGTTTAAATGTTCCAAAGCGTACACCATGACGTCATAAACAACGAAAATTCAAGAGACGACGTGACGTACGAGCAATGGAATAACTGATAGTCCTTTAATCTAATCGACGAATTGAAACATTACACTTGGCAATTTTATAAAAGATCACTAATTTGATAATGTAATATAACACAGCTTGGGACTTATATTTATTTAATTAGCAACATGTAGAAAAAAAAATTGAGCGCATCTGTTGTAATTCACTTAGCAAATAAGCATTTACTTATGACAGACATTCTTGTACCAATCCATACCCAATGTTGTAAAGAAACTCATCATAGATATCAGGTTTAAGAGAATTGATTCACAGCATATTATATCAAAATTGGTACAGAGAAACAACATTTTATACATTTTATACATTTTAAAGGACAAAGCCAGCGGTATAACACCTGTGAAAACGTGGATATTTTTATAGTTAATATTTTATCTAGTAAACATGTCATTTTTGTACAAAATATTGTTCCGTCAATACAATGACACTGCTCGGCTGACAGGACGTAAAGTGATATCAAGTGATTATGTTTTGTTTGCTTAACGTCCAGTTGCAAATATTTTATGAATGTTAAGGACGATTATACATATAAACAGCTGAAGTATATTTATCTTCTTGTAATGAAAACAATACTACCCACTATACACTATGCTGAAACAGAAGGAAAGTATCTACAATTTGATTTCATTTTTGTATGTTTAAGAATAGACAAGATAAAAGATCTATACATGTGTTCTGCGCAAAACAATGCGAAAGTGGCAACTCTTCGCTACCTCCTGCAGCTGACATGCTGGTACTGTTGCAAAGAGTGATTGATCAACGAAAACATCACACAGGTCCAGTGACTGTCGTTTGCAGGTATTTTAACAAGCCCGACCTCTTGAGGTTGATCGTAAATACAAAACAGACTTCGAAATAAACAATTCTAAACTCTGTTACATACTCATGTATTATTTTTGGAACATGCTATTATATTCATTAACAAACGTTCGTTCATTAATGAAAGTTTTGAATAGCAACAATGTTAGCTCTGTAATGCTAAATAGAAAAATAGTGGAATTGCATATCAATAGACATTCTAACATGAAATTTCGGTTTTAGTTTATTAAAACAATAATTCCCCCTTTCAGATTAATAAATAACTTTAATTTTTTTATATCATTGTTTTCCTCATTTTAAATATTATGGACAAAAAACATATAAAAAATGTATGTTGAAAATTATCACCTTAAACATGTTAAAACATTACAATTAGACGATATAATAGTGTCTGTAATCTTTGCACTTTAAAAACAAATTTCACCTATTTTCAATATTTTGATACAGATAAAAAAATTGAAAACAACACGTTTAATAATTTCATGCGTCCAAAGCTATAGTGATGATAATTAATTACTTTCATGTTAAATGCATACATTCTCTCACGTTCCTTGTTCACTAACATTATCGCGGATTTGTTAAATGAGCAATGTATGTATAATCAACATGTCCATGTATTTTCCAGCAATGGTGCAACACAGAGTGGACTGTTTGTTGCATTAAGTTTGATTTTAAAGAAAATGAAGATAGATGATCAAGTCGATGTGTTCCAAGTTATAAGAACAATACAAATTCGGCGACCAGAATTTGTGACAAATTTTGTAAGTTTGCAAGGACATAAATCAATATAAAACACATAAATACAACAGCAGCTATCGAACCATATTACGGAATTGTCATACTATGGTCAGGGTTACACAAACATCACGTTTTAAGTAAAAGTTCACACAAATATGTTTCAACCTTACATTATACAACCTAACGTTTCAGTGTAATACAAAAAAATATGTTACATTTCCCAAATTACCATTACCCATATACTAATTCATTTAAAAAAAAAAGATGTGGTATGTTTGACAATAAGACAACGACCAGAGACCAAAATGAAGTAGATGTAAGCCGTTGGTCACCGTTTAGTCTTAAAAAGAAACAGAACGACTACCGTAGTGTAAACTATAAAAGGCTTCGAAACGAAATTTAAAAAAAAAAATCCAAACAAAAAAAACTCCAACTGCTTGATTTATGTTCTAAACAATAAATGTATAACAAATATGATAGACATAAACTAACTATAACTACTGAATTAGTGAGACTTGAGAAATGCACATATAGTATATTTTGGGGGCGGGGGGTAAACATGTTTGTAAGCCTTCATCCTTCATCTAACCTGGAACATTAGTGTAACAGCACAATATAAGAACAAACTACAGTGAAACTTCTCTAAACCGGCCACTCTGAATACCGGTTCTCCCCTCATACCGGCCAAATCAAGAAGTCCCGGGCGATTTGTATTCCATTAAATGGCCATGTAACCTTCTAAAACCGGCCACCCCTTTAAATCGGATACCGGCCGGTATTTTTGTATTTAGTTAATCAAATTCAATCAAATTTAACCTCATAAAACCGGCCTTGTCATCTGAAATCACCGAGCTGTATACATAATTGTTATGTAATCAATGAAGATAATCCGGTCAATCAGGTCACCTGCAAGCTGACTGAATACTGTTTACTTCTCAAATTTCTTTCAATACCCAAGCTAATTATGTGTACATTAGTGTAACAGCACAATATAAGAACAAACTACACGCGTATCAACATCAGATCGACACAAAGCACAAACAACATAAAGACTAAAGATTAAAACTACCGATTTAAGAGTACTCACAGTTACATGTACTGAAAGCTAGTTCTAAGCCCATCTCAGCTAATAAATGAACAATGTCTCTTAGACAAAATCGACCAGTACACATCCAATGGATTTAGTGTAAAGACGTCATAAATAGTCTGTGAAAAACTTGAATATATGGAAACGAAATAAATTAGAATGAGCCACAGAATGTAGGACAGTTATTGGGCATATCTGTTTATAAATATTTAGTTGTGTTTTAATTACTGAAAAACAAAATATTTGTTAATATGCATTAAAAGCCTTTTCCAACATGAGCATGTATCTATCAAAAATTAAAAACACAACCTCTAAACAACAGAGCATAGAATAATACCATCCCATAGTCATTCATGAAAATGAGCCACGTATAATGAGGATATTTTATGTTTTAAGGATCAGTACGAGTACTGCTACAAGTGTATCAAAGATTACCTAGAAGAACAGTCAGTATATGCGAATCTTTAGTGTAAAATGACAGTGCAATTGACTGTTTGAGTAAGCAAAGGAATTCTTAACACTTTCATTTTATAATCAAATATGAAAAAAATGAATTAACAGTGTATGGATTGTTGTACAGAAGTCAAAAGTCAATTTATTATTGAAATAATAGATATTTCAATGTATGAATATTATCATTATCTTCATTATCATGTAAATGACAGATCCAGTCGCATACTGGAAAAAGTTTGTCATATTCTTGCATATCCGTTAAATGAGACTATTATTGTTATCCGGGTTTTTTTTTCGTAATAAAAATGTACCTACTGCATTTCAGTAATTTATTTGTTTTGAAACAATTTTAACAATTAAGATTATATCACAATGTTGACTGCTGTGTTCCATTTTTTTTACATTTTTACCTATTATGTCTGTTTGTTTTGCTCACACATTGTTGTCAATATAATGGAATTCTATGCGACTTTCATAAAAGTGAGAGGTTTAGCGAGCTATAAAACCAGGATAAATCGATCAATTTCTACCTAAGAAAATTCCTGTACCAAGTCAGGAATATGACAGTTGCATTCGTTTGATGTGTTTTAGCTTTTGATTTTGCCATTGGATAAGGAAATTTCTGTCTTTAACTTTCCATTGAGTTTCGTATTTTTGTTATTTTACTTTTTTTGCTAGTTTTCTTCCATAATGTTCTTGGAAAAACACTATAAAAGGAGAAAAAACGAATACCATACTGTGTAGGAGAACGATTGGAATGATTAATAACTATATTGAATACATGCCGCATCGGTAGGGTTCGTGCTGTCAATATATTGTGTAATAGTATACACTTATTGACTATTGTTTGTCTCTTCCTCTATTACCGTAGGTTTAAGGGTTATATTTCAACTTTTAAAATTTGAGTGTGACCTTGGTATCTTGGAATTTTTCCTTTACAAGTAATTCACTCTTTAGTTGAGCCTGAATGAATAACTCGTAGTATTTATCTAATACAAAATGACGTATCAAGAATGTAATGCCGAAACAATCAATTCATCCCTGTCATTAAGGTGACAACCTAGACAAACACTAAAAGTTATAATGTAGAAGCACCAGAAATCAACCTGGTTTTGATGCGGTTCATGTTGCTCCGTCTTTAGTTTTTCTATGTTGTGTTTAGTAGACTGCTGTTTGTCTTTTCATTGGTTCTCGTGTTTTATCTTCGACTAATGAGTTCAAACATCGCTAACGTTAAGAACGCGACATTTAAGTGTAAGAACAAAGACTGGTTGGCACGGAGTCCGGGTAGGGTAACATGTTACGGATTGTTACCTTGTGAACTTAGACGTTAAAAATCCGGCTTTGCGTGTCAGTACTGATAGTCATACTACATTATCATGTTCTCGTCTTCAATGCCTACTTGACGTTAAACAGTCATTCATCCATCCATAAACAATGAGCAAAATTCATACAGTAAAGTAACCGTTAAAAACCAGGATAACAATCATTATGATAACATTTCAAACAATTTATAAAGAAAAATGAAAGTCCGCTTTAAACTAATAAAAGCATCACATTACTTACAGTAATGATGTATTGTGTTGTAAAATGACAAGATATGATCGTGCAACTGACTGTCAATGATATAAAACCTTTGTCGTATCCTGTTTTCCAATCGTCGGTGGTACCTCCTTGATCGTTTAATTTCCCGGTTAATACAGATTTGTTATTGTTGCTACCGGTTTTGTGATTTGTTATTTTAGCAATAGGAGACCCGAAAAATTGCAGCCACAATATTCCTTTTCGTTACATTTTTTTGCAATGTCCACTCAAAAAGAAAATTATCACCACTTCTTTCCACATTTCTTTTGAAAGACCTTTTGATATTTTTCTGATTGTTATTTTTACACTGCTTATGTTATTCAACATGGTGATATGATATTTGGTATACTTGATATATGATATTGAACAGTTGAAGCGCTTTTGAAACTCAATATGTTGAACTAGAAACTCTTTCATCTTGGAGTTATCTCCCCGTATACTGTTTTCTTGTTATTGCTACTCCTCAAAACCACAGAATATATCGGTTAAAAAAATTCTCAATTCTTCCTCATAATAGCAAGCTCAATTTGGACTAAAGCGACCCGGTTACATGTAATAAGAGTTATGTTATTTCCCTTTGTGTGTTTCACTTGAGTGGTAAGTTGGTGTAAACTGGAAGTCTTAGAGACCTAGAGTATACTGCTATGACGTCTTTAGTCCATCAATAGGAAATTGTGGCCAAGGTAGAATTCGAATGTTTTGATAAAATTTATTTCAGAGAATGACCGAGATTTAAAATTTTCAAGAATTTCTTTTGAGTTCTTAAGAATCCACACATGGTTAATGCCACTTCGCGAGTAAACAGTATCACAGTATTTACTGCGTATTGTTAATTAATCTTATTGACAATTCCTTGGTAGAACATACAGAGGAGCTGGCAATATACCGTTGTTTGAACGGAGCTTTGTGAAGTCCAGGTATTCAAAAAACAAATTAGGTAAGTCATCAGATGTGTTGCTCATTGAAATATTAAATGAGGCCATGTATGACTTATGGTTTGCCAAGTTCTCGTCCTTATCACAAGTTACGTTTTTGTACTTGAGATTACCCTAGTGTTCATTAATTCATAATTCTTTGATTAGTCACTCGTAGCAATAGGATTTGCTGTAACAGACAAACACAATATTTTTTAAGCTTTGTCAGTAGAAACAACATGTTTATCGTGAAGAAGGGATAGATATTTCAGAGGTTATTTGTATCTGAATAAGGACTTAGGTCAAACATTTACATAGTTTATCAACTTGTGGATTCGACGTTATATCAAATACCTATCTGCTTTAACCCATTCTGACAGAATGTCTAGTTCAACCGTTTCTCGTTTTGCCAATGCTCTGTCGTAATCCTTAACGGTATTCCTTTTTATTGAGAAATTATGGTTTCAAATGAAGTTTTGTGACATTCGAAAATTAGGTCTATGATATATCACCTTTCGGAGATTTTTATGTTGAATTATGTTTAGATCCCCAGTAATTACATGGCCAGAGGGCTTGTAAAAATATAGAGAGTGGGATCAGTCACATGTCAGAGGGTTTTCGAGTTTTCTTCTAAATCAAGGTCTCGCAATAGTTGTTAATTTTTGTATATATATTAGTTTTTGATGTAAATGTAGAAGACAATAGAAACAGACTGGTTTTGAAAATAAGGCGGAATTTTAAATGTTACTTCTTATTGATGAAGAATGTTGCGGATACTAATAGCATCGATTCCTTTATTTGAAAAGTAAACTTTAGGGGTTTCCTTTTTTCATCATGTACCGGTTCTGATCTTACTATTTTAATAGCTACATCACAATTTATACTTATTAGTCTGTATATTTGGGAAAACATATTTATGAATCTTTTGTCAAGTGCCTAATATCTTAAACATTTTAGAAAGTTTACAGGCAGTAAAAAGTATTTTTGAAACGAATGTTATGTAATCCAAGCGGATGATAGAGATGTGAAAGAAGGTCATCAAAGCTCTAAGTGAGTGATCCAGATTTGAAATATTTTTTTTTCATTTGGACGATGATAATGTTTATGATCCTGGTTCTGATTACGCTTTGGTCCTGAGCTATTGTTGAATAATATCAATACATTTACATCACTGCTTCTTGGACTTGAAAAGTTTCCTCCACATTTGATGTTTTCATTGCAACTGTATGGTATTGCAGTACCGAATATTCCCCTTTCCAGAAATTATCACTATCTGTTCGGAAAAGCGAACTTGGTACAATTGGGCTATTAGTATGGTGGAAAATTTTATCTCAATGATACGGACTTTCATGGATATAGATGAATCATGGTCCGGTTTATTAAATGGTTATTGGGAATCCTGAATTACGTATTCATTTATTATCCGACCGATGTTGAGTCATCCTTTTACGCAATGTTAGTTGAGTTTCACCAACATAATGTAGCCAGATGGATAAAATTGTCATTACAAGTACCAGCACAGACACAAAGGTAACTTCAGGTATACAGACTACCAGCATGATAACACCGGAATTGCTGTTGTTTTGATTGTCAGATAGTTCCTTAGTGACCATGATGGTCTACCACCACAGACAGACATATTCTTCAGGTAATTTTATTATAATTCAGAAACAAAAATAATCCGGGGTATAAGTTCATGAGACTGATAAAAAAAAACAATTATAAAATTGAAATGTTGGCCAAAATTTATGATAAAAGAGATGAATTTTCATTTCCTATTGTTAATTATCCATTTCTAGATGATGATGTGCCCTTGTCACCATCTTATGGTATTGATATATCCCAACTTGTTCGATTCGCGCGTGTATGTAACAACGTATTTGATTTTAACGAAAGAAATCTCTGTATTACTGAACAATTATTACACCAGAGTTTTCGATATTACAAACTAGTCAAAACATTTACTTAATTTTATAATCGGTACAAGGACATCATTCGTAAATATGAATCAACATGCAGACACCTTATACGTTCAGGTATTTCACATCCCATTTTTTAAGGTAATATTCTATACAAAGCACAAAAATGTCGACATTCACCTCAAAAGCTAACCAAACCTTTAAACAGACTTATTCAGAAGGGATATTGTTATAATACTGGTGTCAGATCTCACAAAACATATTTAACTCCGCCGCATTTTTGCGCCTGTCCCAAGTCAGGAGCCTCTGGCCTTTGTTAGTCTTGTATGTTTTTTAATTTTAGTTCATTTATATGTTTTGGAGTTTAGTGTGACGTCCATTTTCATTGAACTAGTACACATTTTGTTTAGGGGCCAGCTGAAGCCCGCCTCCAGGTTCGGGACTTCTCGCTGTGTTGACGACCCATTGGTGGCCGTCGGCTGTTTTCTGCTGTTTGGTCGGGTTGTTGTCTCTTTGACACATTCCCCATTTCCATTCTCAATTTTATGTGTAAATGAAACACAGAATACATGAGATATTTTGAAGAGAAAAAAATAATTTCAATCGACACTGAGAAAACATCTCTCAACTTATTCTGGAGCTCCATCCACAACCTGAAGCCACCAAGTGATAAAAAAGTTTCAGCACCTGTTTGAACCATGCGACATTGTTTAGTCCAGCAACACCTCAATGCTGGCACGAAAAAAAACCATTCCCAATGCCCATGAAGACCCAGTCTAACTCCAGCTGAAAATTTTCAAATCTCCAGTTATGAATTGACAACTCTGTACATATGTTTTAGATCTATAATGAAATAATCAAACTTTATAGATTAAAAAACCAGAAAGAAAGA